GGTACAAAAAGTGATGATGTTTTTGTAGGATGTTGAAAACGATCACGATGTGTTGGATCGGATTGGTCACGACAATTGGCACCATATCTACATTCTTGTTTTGTATTTGAAACTAGACATAATAGCAAAAGAAACATAACAAGAAGAAATGAGAAATTCGATACAGAACTGGATCCCATTTAGAGATCAACCATTGCACCTCGAGATATTTTTCAGTTCTTTCATCTTATTTGTGATAAGAATTAGTAGGGTCATTCATAAATCCTGACCCTTTTTCGCTCATGCACAGAATAAACTTTATCCTAATTTTCGGAGATTTAATCTTTATGCGCTCTACTTCAAAAAAATTAATTAAAAATTAGCTTTTTTAATTTATTAATCGATATAATGATCGGTCCTCAAGATCATATACAGCTTTAAGTTCTCCTCTCCTTTTCACCCAAGTTCTGATCGATTTGCAATGACTCTGTACATACATGGTGAAGCAGTATCCTGGTGCGTATTTTTTATTGTTGTTTGATCTTGTATACTGGATCTTCCTGAATTCATTGCACCTCCAATATTATGCTCTCTTTCAATATCATCGTCATCACCGCGATTATTATGAAAACGCGATGAACGAGCAGTATTTGAGTTCGTATTCGATGATTGACTACTAGTAGTAGCCGGTACAAAAAGTGATGATGTTCTTGTAGGATGTTGAAAACGATCACGATGGGTCGGATCGGATTGGTCACGACAATTGGCACCATATCTACATTCTTGTTTTGTATTTGAAACTAGACAGAACAACAAAAACAAATATCAAAAAAATAAATGATAAATTTGAGTCAAAATTGAGTTTTATTCAGGATAGTTATGTGTTCAACGTGGTTGGGACGAGTCCCGACGCGGAGTGTTTAGGTCCTATACATTTTTTTTATTTTTATTAATAGGTGATAAATAGTAGAGACTGAATCTCAATATAAGTCAAATCGTTGCTAAGCCGCTACTTTGAACAGTATTTATGAAAATTCTTTGTATACAAATGAAAACTGAATGATGATAACTATCATACCAAAATGAAATATTTTGCAAAACTGATCCGCCTAATGAACTTTCGAGATAATATATTGTTACATACCATGACTTGCAGTATTAAAATTAGTTTCTTGATAAAAGTCGGGTGGATGTTTAAACTTCTTTAAATGTTCTGTAGATCGATCTTCACATCGAGAACCATACTTGCATGGTACGAGAAGGTAAGGCAGGCCAGCATGTCGATATGTACGACGATGTTCGGGATCACCTAATTTTGTACAATTAGCTGTTCCATATTGGCACACATCAATAGCATCTATTGGATGTGTATAGTGACGTGAATGTTCATTCTCATTTATATCACGGCATAAATCTAACCATTGGCAAGGATGCGAATAACGTGCGTTATGCTCTGCATTTCCATTATGATGTGGGATACAGTCAAAACCATCTCTACATGGTTTTAGTGGTTCAACAGTCGATGAATTGCGAGACCATCTATTGGTATTCGTATTCTGTGTGGTACTATAAAATAGAATTTTGAAAATTTCAAAAACTTTCGACATAGTGAATCTATTATTTCGATTCAAAAAATGAATGGTAGCTTGACTTTTCAAATGAAGTATAGGCACACATTTTGAAAAACAAAAATAGCACTAACAAGAGACTCCGCCACCACTAGAGATGCACTAATTCATATTTTCACCTAATTGGAATTAGAATCGGCTAAAGATGAGAAGTTACCGTTACATAAACAGTTCCTTTACCAGTTACGGGGTGAGAGAAAATTCTTGGGTTAAATTCTTTCGTCAATACAAGATTACTATAGAAAAATAACGATCTTTTATAAAGTTTGACCAAAGATAATCAGGATCGAGGAATCTGAATCTGCCATAGGTTTCTAAAAATAATGTACCTCGTTTTTTCATCCAACAAAAAGTTTTTAAGGAAAATAACGATTTTATATAAAGTTTGACCAAATGCTTTTGGGATCGAGAAATCCGAATCTCTTATCGGTTTTCCAAAATATTCAGTTTGATTTTTGTCAAAAAATTTTTTTTTACCAAAAGAGTCATTCTTTTGCGAAGAATTTACCTTTTTTGTCAAAAAAAATTACTTTTTCGGTAGAAAAAATTTTTTGAAAAAAAATCAAACTGAATCTTTCGAAAAACCAATAACAGGTTTCGGTTCCTCGATCCTAAAAATCTTTGGTTAAACTTTATAAAAAAAACTGTTATTTTCCTAAAAACTCTTTCCCTGATGAAAAAAATCAAATTCAAAATACCTCTCTTATTTGAAACAGGAAAACTGCTTATGCTCCTGCACGTGAGCATAAGCTGTACATCTCCAGTCATAAACCCTTCGTATGTTCATATACCCTTGTTTTCATAAACCCTTCAAGGCCTTATGAAAAATTGTATATAGGGTAAAAGTTTATTATTCTACTTTTCTTTTTTACAGTGTAGCATGATCTAATAAAAACACAAGTTCAACGGTCATAGTTGAGGTCGATGCAGCCAGCTAACACATTGGAAACCTGCCGTGATGATCGGTTTTTTCGATGATTCACATACCTTTCTACTAAGAGAAGCCAGCGGCGCTAATAAACTGGTCATCACCGTAGGTTTATCATGGTCTAACTGTTCTCCCCTGTAGTCTCACCTAAAAAACTTTTCATAAAAGTTCACGAAAACAATGTTATTTTCATAATACAGATTTCTCCTAACTGGAAAATTGCCTTCAGAAGGTGCCGTTACCAGTTATGGACCATTGTAACAGAAATCGACTAAAAATCGACCGGTGTAACGCCCACCGGTGGTGCTATCGGTCCACCACTCACTAGTGGTACCGTAGCACTCGATGAACGGTGGACCGATGGACGGTTCACCGTCACCGTTACATCTTAGCTATCACTATTATCACCAAGTGATTAATCACTTTTAGGTATAGCCTATACTCAATTCGTAGAGGCCAGTAGGTATGTAAACAACCTATAGTGGTTCAATCGTCTGCGTAATTGTTGATAAGATGTTATATTTTCATTGCACAAATTTTCATTAAGTTCGACTCTGCTACTGATTTTGTGATATTTTGACGAAACAAGGATCGATCTAATTCACGAGAAAATCTTTTCAGATGACGGATCAATTTTGCGATAAGACTTATCTCAGTATACAGGGTAAGGATGTGGATATGGGTGTGGATGTGGGTGTTTTTCTTTTCACACCGGCACCCACACACATGCATACTCTATCAACTCACATGATTACCAACTCAGATGGTGACCAATAGATTTTTTAATAAACTAATTAGTTATAATAAAATGTTATATATACAACAGATTATATTTGATCTAGATTTGTTTTCGGTTATGAATTCATTCAGGGACATTGAAGTCGGCGAAACACATAGTCGACGAAAACTTCTTTCGTTAGTGTTAGAACCGGTGAAGATCGTCATCAGCGAAAAGAAAATTCGGCGAAAATGGACTAATTCACAATGTTGATCAGATGGAATACTACATCTCATGAAATACAAATGCATTCGGACTGTGGTCGGTGTCGACGATTGAATGCACTAAGATACGTGTTCCCATAAATTTTCAGCTCATGCGGTCTTATCAATCCCAAGGTCCAAGGGGCTGCAGATATTTGTAAAGTATCATATCAACTCTTATGATCTTTTTGACGAAAAAGCTATTAGTGCAATCCCTGGGAGATTAAAATGTGAAACACGAAGTACCCATTGTTATTAATCACGCAAATATTGTTTTCTTCGATATACCTTGAGATCCATTCAGTCATCATTTTTTACTTAATCCTCTAGAATTGCAATAAGGAAGCAGTTGATATATTCTCATGAGATTCTGTAAAATATAAGCGGCAATCATGTATCAAAAGCTCTTTCAAGCCTGCGATGGGTAGAGCCCGTCGGGTCCAAGATTTTTGGACTCGAACCCGGCCCCGTTTACAATTTGCTACACTAGTACCCGGAACCGGACCCGCTTGTTTAAAAAAATGTTGGACCCGGACCCGGTCGCTTAAATTTTTTGGATCCAAGCACGATGATAAATCAGTTTTGCTAATATATTCAGAAAAGTCTTTTGTTGCTTTTTTGTATATTTTCTAAATACATTCAATTTCTTTCTTCATAAAACGAACAAAATTTTGAAAAAATTCACAATACATTGTACGCATCAAAGTTTTCTTCAGATCTAGATTCGACCCGGACCCGGCCACAAAAAAATTTCAGACCCAGAACCCGATCCGGACCCGGTCAAAACGAAATTTTTTGACCCGTACCCGAGTGGGTCCGGGCCCTACCCGACGAGCTCTAGTGATGGGTACGAAGTTTCTCTATCATGGTTTATGATGATCTCTGGAGCCCTTATGTCGCGGATCGTGAGGGAAGGGAGAATGGATGCAAATTTCTACTCCTATACACTTCAACACTCCTTTTAGATTGTGTTTCATAAAATCGATTTTTTTCGAGGGGACGGGGGTGGCTTCACCATAAAGCGAAGAGAAACTACGTTTTTCTTTTTTTTAAATACATTAAAATGTTAACTTCAACCCATGTAGCCGGTTGTTGCATTATCATGTAATTATTGCCATTATAATATATTATTTTTCATTATAATGTATTTTTTTCCATTATAATGCATTATAATAGAAAATAATGGCAATAATTGCATGATAATGCAACAACCGGCTACATGGGAGGTAACGTTACAGTTGTGATCACACTGATTTGAAAGTTAAAAAGATTTGCAATCAGTTATTCAAAAGTTTTCAAATCTCAAACTAAAGGAGAGAATATTCTCAAAATCATTGCAAAAACTTACTGGCTGGTCTCCATTTGTTGTTTTACTGCGTTGATAAAATGCAAAGATGTTTGCAAGTGAAATATTGACTCAATTTCGGGAGTAGCGTAGGAAAGAAAAAAAAAACATCTTAAAAGGTTTTTTCTACCCTATACATAAAAGAATAAAGTACGTCGGAAGAAGAAAAATGCAGAAAAAGACGAAGTTGTTATGTGGACCAATCAGTTTTCTTCTACAGTAAACTATTCTCTTTTTGTTATTATTATTATTTTTGACATCTGACATCTAACGGAACTCATACCCAACTCGTAACTATTTTATGGATGGAACACGACGCGATTTGTTTCGATAGTGATTTTTAACCCTAGTCAACTGTACTGTGAGCAGTGATTAGGGGGTAACACATTCACTTGGATTTCTGTTGAGTAACATAAGATGGAGTAACTTAATAGTTACTATTAACTTAGTACAGTAAAACCTCTCTATTCTGAACACCACTGGGACTTTCTGAAATCGTTCATAATTACGGGGTGATCATAAAGGAGGGGATTTTGCAAAAAAACGTTTTTTTAATTTATATCACATGTTTTCATCTTTTCCTATTGTTCAACAGATTTTATTCATTAGATTTGTACATTCCATATATAATATGAGAAAAAATTTTTCACTATCAAAATTTTAAGTACGTGGATCAGGTGCATAAAATATTCAGATATGGAATACTATTTGATCTCTGCAAGGTGTATGTCACGTCTTATAGACGTGTGTAATGATATCTTGATCAAATTCATTTTTGAATTTTCTTTTAATCTTTTATTTCTGAGCGATTCGTATTCATCTGTGTTTTCTAATTTTCTTTTTAACATATTTGAAACAGCTCCAATTGAAATATGAAATTTTTCACTTTATAGTCAATAAGAAAGCCCATTTTCTTTCTCTTTTATAAGGTTTATTTTTTCTTCTAAACAAAGTTCATGACGAATTGTCACATTTAATAATTTAACGTTAACATATAAACATACAAGACGTAACTCAGTTACGCATAGACGAGATTGAAAATGATTTTTTTTTTCTCTATTTCTCTCTCTAAGCCAATTACAAAACTAGCCAATGAAATACATTGTGTTAATTCAAAGTTTAACGATGTCCTCTATAACGTTCACATTACAGAGGAAAATTATACAGTCGGAACCGTAAAAAAGTGTTCACATTCAGAATCGTGAGGATTTCATTAAGGAGGGGGCCAAAACCAGCAAAAATCGCTCGGGGGGACCGGAGAGCGTTCAGTATTACAGGTTGATCATTAAGGAGGGGTGTTCACTAATAGAGGTTTTACTGTATATCAACATCATTTTAAACTAATCGAGTTAGGTGAATATTATTAAATGCAAAAAGATTCGCTCATTTTGCTCATTAATAAATTGAGTTTTGAATATAAGTTGTTTTCATTTTTCTCATTTTTATTGATTTTAGTTTTTTCCTACTGTTTAGATTTATTAGTCAAATCAAATTTTTGAATAAGTTCAAATAAGATATTATCATTAATTTTTGTATACTTGATTTATATTTATTATGCAAGGTATGAATGTAGATGAATGTTTGTGAGCGTGTATTCTTCAGAATATGATCATTTTGAGACTAAAAATATCTTAAATGAGGAAAAAAGAACTGAAGAACAAAATTTGAAATATTCTACTACAATGTCAAGTATGTGTAGTATAACTTCCATATGATATTCATACAATAAATCCTTAGAATGCTCACATTTATTTTCTGATCACTGGTTCTCAACTGGCCACATCGAAAACATCTGTTAACTATTTTATGAAATTTTTATTTTTCCAGTTATTTTATCAATAGAAATGATTTCATGTTCGAATAATTTTGTTAATAATTTTCGATTTCGTTTCAATTCTATTACATCAAAAAAAGATTGATTAAAAAAATTTTTTCGTTGTATATTACAATCAATTTTAATTAGATATTGAATAAAACGATGTCGACAACCATGAACTTTTAAACATAAATATAACAAGAGATCATTTCCATCTTCATCCAATTCATTTAAAACTGCATTCGATAATGTAATAATTTTTTTCAACATTTGAAATTGTTTTTTATTTAATAACTGAAATAGAAATTCTTTCCTTATAAAACATGCATTTAACGGTTTTTCATCAAGTAATTGTTTGAATAATTGTTTTCTCTTATAATTTCCAAGCATGATATTAATAAACTTTTCAATATAATCTGTTGTGTGCAGAAAATTTCGTAAAAATTGATTATGTCGATGCATCATTAGAACAATATTCATACAATCATTTTCGATCAAATGATTTAGAGCTTGTGTAAATGAATGATTTGTATTATCAGTCCATGGAATAGTCATATGTAAATTAGATTGATCAAGTAAAATTTTTAATAGTTCTATTTCTGTTGTTCGAAAAACTATATTACTATTACTGTTTATTGATTCTTCATTTGATTTAATCATATTTAATATTTCAAATAAATAACTTTCTGACCATGATTTATCATTTAAAATAGATCGTATTGATAATAAAACTAGATCAACAAGTGATTGATAATAGTATAAATTAGTTGTACATAATTGATTAGTATAGATAAAACGTCTTTGAAAAATAGTAAAAAGTAAAAAATGAACAACATTGAAACCATAACTAAGATAATGAGAAATTTTTAAAAGATTCGGATTTGAAATAATTAATCCTTTGAATATAGATATAAGGTGATAAAATTTTTTTTTATAATGATATAAAGTAGATTTATAGTAGAAAACCATTTGACGACTAATAGCTTTAGCCAAATCAAATGAACGCATTTGATTATCATCATCACATTCGAGACGTGCACCACGTATGTAAATAAGAGAATGTATTTGTTGAATTGTATTCGATGTATGTTCTAATTTATTAAATGCTATTTTTAATTCATTATCAACATTTTGAATTTCATTATCAGTTAATTGTTTACGTATAGATTGAAAATGATCTTGATTTAATTGAAATTCTTTATCTAATCGAATATATTGATTTTTTATATGAAAACAAACTAATGATTCTAGACATTGAACAATTTCATTATTGTTTGTAATTTCATTTAGTGACATAAGTTTTTGTGTTACATATTGAAATTCTAATGAATTATAATAGGAAGACATTGTTTCAGAATCAATATTTATGCATAGAAAATCAGTTAATAAATGTAATCGTTTATCAAGAAGAATATTACTTATACGTTGATTCAAACCGAGAAATGTTTGAAATATAGAAACAACATCATCCAAATAACTGAAAATGATCATTAAAATTTCATCTGATAACCGTTCGAATGTTGACTGCATACTAAAACATGAATCAAATGTTATACTAGCTTTTCATTCATAGCTATCGCAATAATTTCATACTGTATTATGATTCATTCTATTAACGTGCTTGACGACTACCTTGTTTTCACTTGCCAATTCTGTGCTCACAGAAAAAAAAATCTCGAATAGATGTCACAGAGTGTGTGAATTTGGTTGCGAGTCTTCTTTTCATTCACACGCAAGATTCCATACAATTCTTAAAACACTCATTTAATTTGTCTTCTTCATATCGATTCATTGTTAGTTAAAAATAAATAGTAAATTGATTATTATTCTACGATCTTGTCAATATTCTAAAAAGATCTGATTATTTATTCGTTTTTTTTGTTAAAAAATGATACTGATATTCAAAACTTCCTTACATTATATCTTACCTTTTTTTCAGTTCTCATACGGGTAAATCTAAACGAGTTGATCCTATAATTTAGTCCTAACAAAATAGGCTATTGAAAAATTATAGACTAGAATGGAATAGAGTTGATAGTACTTCCTCAAAAACGGACAAGTTATGATCAACATAGATGATGCTCCAGACTAACCTGCATCACCTTTGAGAGCATTTCATACTGATCCAAACAGTTTCTTCGATTAGTTTATAGTTAGCCGGCAAAGTATGTGTCGAACATGGTTGGCTCGAATGTTTGAATCCACTCTTTTTTTTTCTTTTTTTGTTCTGTTGACTAGTCTAAACGTCATCGCAGGATATTTCCGTTAAAGCAACCACTCTTGGCGAACATACAAGACATCTCATACAAGAGATAATGGGTAGTGTGAACATTTTCGTCTAATGATTGAGGGCGAACGCGATCTAAAAACGAGAGTTTTGATAATGTTGTTGATCCCACTTAAATGTTCGATTTTGAGATTTTCATCTAGTTTTATAGTTCAGTGAATGTTTACCACAATATAGGTATCATAGTCATAACTGGTAACCGTAAACAGTATGTCCGGTAGAAAATTCGTAACCGATCAGCATGAAAGTTTTAAAACTTTAGTATGTTTTTTATCGAAAAATTGAGCATAAAAGCGTTTTTTGAAAATCTAATGCTTTTTTACTAATGTTGAAGACTATTCTAATCAGTCAAAATTTATCATAATAGACTTATCATATTTTAACAACTCACTTTCATATTAAGTTAGTTGTTAATGAGTATGTCTCTTTGATGGGTTTTTTTTCTTGAAACTTTTGAATATATAACGTAGTGTATTTTTTTTTATTACTTAGCATACGAGGAGTAAAAAACTCAATTTTTTTCATTGATGTAACTGTGGGATTGACATAGAAAAAATTCTTCACTATCATTCTGTCTCCTCTAGAGTCGGAAATCCAATGCAAGGCTCTAATGAGAGACTTACGATGCTATTCTCTTTTTGTATTCTGTAGGTTTCGAGAAGTCGAAAATGATGAATACGGAAAGATCAATTGTACAATATATTTTTGTAGATTTTTTTGTCTAGAAAATAGCCAAATATTGGTTCTGAATTTCTCATAGGCACTTTGGCAACAAAGTATTTTCCTAACTATACTGTCGCATTTATTTTTGAAAGAAACGCATCATAGGTTCCGGAAGGTTCCTTTTCGTAACACTTATTGCTTTTCGAGATATCAATCAGAAAAGACGCACCAAGACTGCTATGACATCATAGCAATCTCATTATTTTATCCTTATCTTATGAATGCGAACGGTGTATATCTGAGAAATTTATTGCTTTTTGAAATATTCATCAAACGAATTTTGATCTTCATCGTCTGAGACAAAGACAATGTTCAATTTGTCATGAATTGCATTCTGAACCTTCTTGATTATTTCAGCCAATTGTGGTGTGAAACTGTAACAAGATAAACATCAATGAGTCCTAGAAGAAAATGAGCATGATTTAAGAAAATGCTTTTTTTTTGAAAATATACTAACGAGAAATACAATGCTACAGTTTTACCGTTCAGTTGGCATTTGATTCGGCTTGTTGTATTGCAGCAATTGTTCTTCAAGCAGATTTTTGAACGCCGTCATTATGTTTCAAACTCAAAGATAAAAATATGAAGAAAGAAGGCACTATTGCAGTGTTTTATAGGAGATATAGACAAAAAAAAACCAATAGCATCGTTGCTTACTGTATCGTGATGAAAAATATGTTTGAATTATACCGATCTTTTCTTTCTCTCAGTGTAACTCATTCCTGTTTGTGTCCAAAGGCAACAGAATTACTGTTACTTTCTTCTTCAGTAACATGAATAATATATCAGACCGGCACTGTACGTAGTGCGATGCTTTTTGCGCAGAAAATAAACAATTATTCTGCATTTTTACACGATGCAATACTCGATCTTTTCATCTAGATGTCACTATACGGAATAAGCATCTAAATAGGATTGAAATATTTGTATCACTGCTCTTCGAAATCACACATGCTAACTTATGAATATCTTTCTAACGTAACATAGTGAATTTTTGTGATCGTCACTGGTTTCCTTGTGTTACAATGACAAATGCAGAAGTAACCTTCTCTTTATCATCATTTACATTCACAAGTTTTACTGTATAGATTTCATAGGAAATTATCAGAGTTTTTGAATTTTTCGAGACATAGTTTGAGCTTTAGAAAATCTACTTATACAGTTCGATAGAATTCGTCACAGTTGTACTTGAAACAAGAATAGAAGTTTTCGATTAGGCTCTTGAACGCATTGTCACCAGTATGACTCAAATCGACTACTAGTTTCATCTACCTTACTAATACACTATCTCATACACGTATTTAGATCAAAACAAAATTGAAGATACTAAGGTGACAACAGAAAAATACAATACAATTCGTTAAAACAATGTGACGTGAGACAGAAAGAAAAACAACAACAAATATGTACTTTAAATTTGTTCGACCCTCACTTATGATAATCATTACATTTAGCAACAATAGTATGTCATTAATTGTCCTTTGTTTATTATCATAATGTACTCTTAAGTTACAACATGAAATATTGATTTCTTACCGATTCTTCTTCTTTTTTTGTTTTTCATTTATGTATTTTGAGATTAGATTATAGAAAAGTGAACAAAAACAAAAACTATATTAATAGTTGAACTTTGAAAAACAGTATTGTTTCTATCAAAAAAAAAATTTTAAGTATGATTTCATGTAAAATTAATCAATTTTAATATGAAAAATCCTTCTTGATTTATTTTAATGAATTACTACATGTTTCTCATTTGTGTATCAATTGTAATTAGCTATCTAAGTACAATATAAACGATGCATAGATTCAAAACGAAAATATGTAAATGAAGCGTAACCAAGAAGCAACAAAAATAACTATAGTAAATACTACATATGAATAGTCATTAATATGTATACAAGCATGGTTGTCTCTTTAAATAGCAAACAAATTGATGTTGATGTTTTACTTAATTCTGGTCTTAATGATAATTTGTCTATAGATGAAATTATTCAGAAATTAAATGAAATTTCTTTCGATTTAATATCAAATTATCTTATTCATGATTTTTTTATTTTAAAATTTTTTTCTCGAATTAATGAAATTCTACAACAATGGAATAATGATAATCGAATAATATTAAATGAAAATGATTCAATAACATTACGTTGTGGATGTAATTTAATATTACAAATGTCAAATTTAATGAATAATCAACTTGAAAATAATAAAATTTTACTTAATACAATTAAAATATGTTTAAATAATATTTCATCATTTGGTTACTATATTAATGCATCGAATCAAGAAGAAGATTCTAATTTAGCTTCATTCGATTGTCTTATACAAGCTTATGGAAAGATTAAGTGAGTTAAAATTGAATATTTGGTTGTTGTTTTTTTAATTTCTTTGTTCAATATAGATGTAAAGTTCTTGTTGAATCAGTAGCACGTTGTGCTGCATCAAGATTTTCTGAAGGTGCTTTTTCTGGTTTATGTGGTTTTCCATTGAATAATACAGAACATTTTCTACTTATTACATGTCCTGATTATGTACTTAATTATGATGAAGAAAATGGAAAATATGCTCATTTTATATTTGATCAAATGTATTTACAATATGCAAAAGTTTTTCGTTGTCCATATGGAAATATTAATGATTTAATAGATAATTATTCATTTTGTTTAGTTTCTCCATTACGATTGATTGCTTTTGCTATTCGTTCATTAGAATTAAAAGAGAAACAATCATTTAAAGATATTGCTATGAAAATTCTTGAATATGATATAATAAATTTGTATTCAGATGAAAAAAATTTTACTTGGAAAAAACTTGTTCATTCAAGTCTTAAAATTTTACTTGAAATTGGTCGTTCATTTCCATATTTAATTAATGATATACATGAAAATCAAACATTCTTTACAAAACTTCTTGATAATCTATTAAAATTGAGCAATGATCAAGAAAACGAGAATATTCAACTTCAAGCATTTGAACTTATTGCATTAATTGTATCTGAAGAACAATTTTCTACAATAGTTGATATAAATAAGGTTTAAATTTTACTTTCTTTCATAGAGAAATTATAGTCATGACGCTTTTTTTTTTTTTTTGCTTATATTAGGTTGTTAAACTTTTTGTAAAGAAATTTATTGAAGCAGTAAATATTGACAATGAAGAATACAATGCATTAGCAGAAGAATTACTCTATGGATTAGAAAGTTAATTTTTCAGTTCTTTCTTTTTATTTATGTCTATGCTTCCTATCTAGGTATGATTGACAATAATATTATCCGAGAACAACTCGTAGAACAGAACAGTCTTCCATATTTGATAAAGTACGCTAAGAAATGGTCAAACAATGAAAGTTCACTCAAGATTATTTATGCTATTGTATTTACTACAAAAGGCAAAGAAGAATTAAAGAAAGAACAATATAAAGATTTCATTGATCATATTAAATGTCTATATCTATCGAATAAAGAAGAAGTTCGACAAGCAGCACATGGAATCAGTTGGAAACTTACAGGTGAAAATGATTTTATTGAAACTATTGAACAACAAGAAAAAAATCTTGAGAAAACATCACAATATTATCAATTAGGATTTATTCAAGAAAATTTAAATTATAATAGTTTACAAAATTCTGTAACAGATACATTTCATATAATGATTTCTTATTCTTGGAAGAATAAAATACTTTGTCATCAAATATATGAATACTTTCGAGATGATGGTTATCGTGTTTGGATCGATGAGAACGATATGTATGGTTCAATAATTGAACGAACGGCTGAAGCTATTGAAAAATCAAATTTTATTCTTATCTGTGTATCAAGTGATTATAAAAAAAGTGCTAATTGTCAAGCAGAAGCTGAATATGCATTTAAGCGTAAGAAAACAATTATTCCTCTTATAGTCGAACCAAATTATAAAGCAGATGGATGGCTTAGTTTTATTATTGGAAATAAAATCTATATTAACTTTACTGATAGAGTACATAATGAATTTAAAATAGCTTATAAAATGCTTCTTGTTGAATTGCAACATAATGGTCTTGATTTATTACAATCGCCGACTAATTCCAATTGTTCAAGTAGAGAATCGGACACACAAAAGTACGTACAACCAAAACCATCAATATTCGAATCAAAACTGAACACTCAACCAATTGAAAATGTATATGAACCAATACCTTCAATTTCTCTATCACAATATCGTCATATCGAACGAATGGATAATTGGAATGAAACAAATGTTGTCGAATTTTTTGTTGATAATGATTTGAAAATTCTCCTACCGATATTGAAAGGTATTAATGGTCAAGGTCTAATTGAACTTTATCGAATTTACGAACGTTCACCAAATAATCTTTATAAAATGTTTCGCAAAGATAAACAAATAATTTCTCTTGGAATTTTTTTCAAATTTGTTGGAATCTTGAAAAAATTTATTAATATTTCTGAACAACATTTCGATTTTTAGAATGTGATAAATTGTGTTTGAAACTTGTCTCTTGAATTTTTCTATCTAGTATTAGTCTTTATCAATAATAAATATAACTTATTCCGAAACAAAACTATTGAGGCATTGCTGCCTCCCCCCCCCCTCCTTTCGATTTCAATAATTTCCATTCCTATTGATACTTGACTAAACTATCGAATTTTGATCTGAAACTTTATGCATATGGAGAATTCAACTAGACTAGTTTTGTTAAAAACAGAATTCAGAATTTTGAAACGAAGTCTCTTCGAGGTATGAAACGTTCAAAAAAAATCATTGAAATGGAAGAGATTCTCTTGTCAGTGATGTTTCTTTACAATACTATGCATGATCTGTGGCTGAAAATATTAGATAATATTTAGAGGTGAAATCTTAATAATATAGTTCTCTGAAGAACTTCATCTCTATGTATTTCTTTCAATGATATTTCGATAAAAACTAATTGATCTCTCTAGTTTTTAGAGGACATATGAAAGGAAGAATACACTATTGCATGATTAATTTTACATTACTTTCTAAAAGTTCTCGCTACATAAATTGATTTATTGAAGAAAAATGTTTCACAGATGTCTTCATCTTTTACATAATATGTACTCGTTGTCTAGTATAATACAGACAATAAGTTCAATTGATTTTTTTAGCTTTTCTTATGGAACTTTCTTGCGACTCTCAAAAATTTCTCGTTTTGTGAACTATTTTTCATATTGTTTTTGGCTAACTAACTCAAAATGTAGCCGCCTTCGACACTAAAAACCGCTGTAAGAAGCGATAGTCAGTATTACATACTCAATTTTTGGACGCTAGACTGTCGATTTCATACTAAATCATCCTTGTCTCTACCAGCGAAATATGAAATAATGAATAAATTTTCGAAATTAATACTTAATCTAGCTTTCTAAATTATCATTCAAAGTGTTTTTATCTTAAGCAACGAAGTACAGAATAATTTTCTCACTTTCACTTTGTCATTTTGTATTGTTATAAATTCGAACGCTATAATCAACAATCGAAACAGATGAAATAATAAAACTCGCAGCTATTCATAGGAATCGTATTTTCTAAACACGTAAGTCGACTATCTTAGAATAATTTCCCACTGCTTTCAATTTAATTCTGATAATTTCAACCAGTCTTATCTAGCAATTGACTAAGATTTGTTGAACTATCGTAAAATACATTTTTTCAAATCTTTTCGTTCATATTTCAAAGAGTACGAAAAAAATCAAAATTAGTGTTTATCAAATAGATCAATATAACATGGGTTGAGCAAAGAAAATGCCATTACATTTACATAAAAATTGATTACTAGCGCCATTTGATTATTTCTGATTGGTTGTATTCGTTTAACAAATCGTTGTAAGATATGATAGTTTATTACATTATTATTTGTTTACGATATAGTAATCGGCTAAAACTTGATTTCTTTTTTTTTTTTTGTATTTCTTATTAGAAAAATTTTTAGATTCATCATGGGACGACGAAAGATAACTGATGAAAAAACAGTTAAACAGATTCGTGGTCCTGGTCGTAAAGCAAAAAAACAAGGTGAACCAACTTTTCCAAAAGAATTAATACAAACAGGTAAGAAAATATTCATTTATTATCTTTTAAATAAAATATATTCGTTTTTTTTTTCCTAGACTCTACCGAAAAGAAAAAAGTATCAAGTCGTGGCAAACAACGGTTTGAATTTCCTTTTTCTTTTTTTTTTCTCAAAGTTTTTTTTTTTCTTTTTAGTGCACGTAAACGTCTTCAAAAAGAAGAATTAAAACAAACAATAAAAAAAAAGACAAGTATGTTTTATTTATTTTTTTTTTTGTTTATTTAAATTCATTTTTTTTTCTTTTTGTTACTGAAGAACTTAAAACAACAACGAAACGTCAATCCGATGATGATGATGAAGAAGAACAAATAAATGGATATACCGATGAAAATCAACAATGGCTTAAACCAAAAAAGAAAAAAGTATTTTATATATGTAACATTTTATTATTGTATACTATTGATTAAAACTAGTTTATCTTTAATTATGAGATTATACAGTGACATATCTCTATACATGTCATCGTAATTGACTTCTACATAAGTCTATATCGTTCTTCCAATTATTTATTGTTTATTTCTAAGCAAGAGATTAATGAAATGTTGTGCTTTTTGGACAGTCTATATTAATTTTTGAAAAATCGATTCATTTATCATTTAAAAAGACGAAATAAAGCAATAAAAAAAATGTCCCTTGAAGTTATCTAATAAAATTTCTATTAACAGGAAATTCAAATGAAATGATTATGACAAAAAAAATATATATATATATTATGAAAATTTAATTTAATGCCTTGAGACATAGAAAAAAATTGATTTTAATATAAAAAGAATCTTCTGATTTAATTCAATACTAAATTAAAGACTGTATTCTTTTAATAAATTTTAGTTAGAAATCATCGATCAAATACAAATTACCAAACACTTATTCACCGTCTTCATATATGCTTTTGTTTTCTTGTTACTTGGACAAAGAACAAAAAAAAAAGAGCTTATGAATTTCACGCCCTAGAATGAGAGGTTGCTGCATTTCCTACGACCTTCTTTAAAAAAATTATAAGCATTACAAAAAATGAAATATAAAACAAAACACATCTTGGTGATGGTTATAACTTTTCAAGAGAAGATCATAGAAAATACGACAATCTCTCATTTTATTCAGAATTCTATGTTCTATAAGATGGTAAAAATAGACACAAGAAGTCCCAATATTCAATCCTTTTGTCTGATATTTTGACTACTAAACTCTGATCGCAAATAATAACTCGAAGTCGAAAGACCTTAATGTAAAGTGTTTACTATGTAAATGCATTAGCCTCTATCTTCTTATTAACAAATAAAGATTCACATGTCCATATTGTGTGACAGATGTTGTAGTCCTGTCCGTTGTAATCTTGAGTCGTAGGGAAACATCCATTGCTTGGAACGATCTCAGCATGGTTTTCTTGTCCATCGATGACTGTGATCGTGAAATTTTTGCAAAGCAAATGATTAAAATTAGACAAACTAAAATCGTTTGATATGAAAGCAAGACTTTATGCGACGTTTTCTAGAATCTGAAAATGACCATATTTAATTTTCTAGAAACTTTCCTTTCATAGTCTATCTATGAAATGGATTTGAGTATGATAGAAAAAAAAAAATTCAAAATCAATACTTTAATCATAGCATCTTAATAAAGTATATAGAGGACGTTCGTTTTTGAACGACTCTTTCGTTAGAATCCTAATAGACAATGCAATCTATAATATAATAAACAATCGAGAAGATATATAATAAATACAATTTGTCTTTCCTTTTTGAAATATTTCTACTTCAATTGTTTTGATTAGGAATTATTTGATAATAATGGAACTGAAGAAGAACCAATGGATGATGATGTTCCATTGAATGATGAATTCAATGAAATGGAAAGTACAAGTGAAGAAGAAGAAGATGATGAAGAAAATGATGAACCTAAAGTTAGTTAAACTTTGCTTTTTTCATAGTTAATTTTTTAATAACAAAAAAAAAAAAAAAATAATAATAGCTTGATATTGAAAAACAATCAAAAAAATTACGTGAAAAACAACGTCAAGTAAAAGAACGTTCCGAACAAGAATTATTAACAAATATTCAACAACAAGAAAAAGTTCAATTTCCAAGTGGACAAGAAATTACAAAAGAAGGTTAAAAAAAAAAAGAAGAAATTTTAATTGTTGTTTTATTTTTTATTTTTTTTTGTGTTTTAGTTCCACAAGCTGATTTACAATTATTAATGCATCGTATTCGTGAAGTAATTAATGTTTTAAATGATTTTAAAAATAAACGTGAAATAAATCGTTCAAGAAAAGAATATATTGATTTACTTAAACAAGATCTATGTAATTATTATTCATATAATGATTTTTTAATGAATAAAATTATTGAATTATTTCCACTTGCTGAAGTAAAAAGAAAAAATAAAAAAAATTTTTTTTTTTTTTTCATAAATAAAATTTAACAAAATTTGTAAATAGATTATTGATTTTTTGGAAGCTAATGAAGTTCAACGACCTGTAACTATTCGAACAAATACATTAAAAACACGTCGTCGTGATCTAGCACAAGCATTAATTAATCGTGGTGTTAATGTTGATCCACTTGATAAATGGACTAAAGTTGGTCTTGTTATTTATAATAGTCAAGTACCAATTGGTGCAACACCAGAATATCTTAGTGGTCATTATATGATTCAAGGTGCTTCAAGTTTTCTACCTGTTATGGCATTAGCACCTCAACCAAATGAACGAATTTTAGATATGTGTGCAGCTCCAGGTGGAAAAACAACTTATATTGGTAAAAAAAAAAAAAGATTCATTGTTTCTCTGAGAAGAGAATTATTTAAAAATACAAATAAAAAAAATATGTTTTAATTTAGGTTCATTAATGCGAAATAGTGGTATATTAGTAGCAAATGATGCTAATAAAGATCGTGCAAAAGCTATTATTGGTAATACACATCGATTAGGTTTAACAAATACAATTGTAACAAATCTTGATGGAAGACATTTTTCGGAGGTAAAATATTTTGATTGATTAATTTTACTTTTTTTATTCAATTGAAATTAGTAATCATTGTATTATCTTCATAAAACTATCTGTGCAGGAGTGTAGTCATGAATTTTTCAAGGGAGCGGATGTACACTTGTTTCGCGAAAAGACTTTTAATCTATACCCTTCTCCAGGTGTTTTTAGCCAAGGCACTGCATGCACCCTTTGGCTACGCTCCTGTATCTGTGTAAATTTTCTTATAGTTTAAAAATAAGGAATATATATAGAATTAATTACATTATTGACTTCTATATTCAATTTGAACTACCTAAATTGAGATCTTCTATTTGAGCTTATATTGGGTTCCAATTGAAGTTTCTAGAAAAATCCTTGAACAGTTCGTACCCATGAATCTCCAGAGCGGGAAA